ATGCAAGAAGAACATCTTGGGCTCTAAACACAACGGGACGGTTCAACAAGATCAGACTAGGAGTCAAACTTAGCGGATGGCGGTTAGATCTGGGGGTAGTTCGTTGAACAAAAACACATCACGCAGTAGTGAATCAAGCAGGAAATTTATACCAAAAACCCCTCTTATTGTATAGAGGAGCAACTTCGTTGACAAGCTTTATCAATGAAAACTTTACTTCATAGATCTCAGAGCCAACTAAGCCCGTTAGATCGTCCATCAAACCAACTTGCTAAAGGATTACGCCTTAGATTATATAGCGCTCTTTTACTCGCGAAGGAAAATAAGTTATTACGCGCCGCCAACCAGAAGCAAAAGCAAAAGCGCATTCGGTCCCGAAGGCAGATACCCGCCGGAAAAGGCCTTTCTGTTCAAGAAGCATCTGCATTATGCAATCGGTGGAAGCAATAAAAACACCCGGAGAAGGCCTTCGCCACGTTTACAGCCGCGAAGGAGAGCATTAGCAACATGGGGGTTACGCAAAAACCAGGGTCATAGGAGAGATGCATGTCCAGATAGATGATGATTTTAGTTTATTTATTATCATGGCGTTTTGGTTGAGAAAATGGATTTGAATTTAATAAGTTGGATGGGGTGCGTCTCTCAATAGTGTGCGCCACTCGTAGTGTGCGCCACTCGGTAGTGTGCGCCACTCGGTAGTGAAATACGTTAACTAGCGGATATAAGGAACTCACCTTCTCGGACAGTTCCACCTCATATCGGCGACAGGGGTCTGCATTGATAAGGTATGCGGAAGCGAGGCCTGCCATTCCGGAGCCTATTATGACCACTGTCTGACGATGGGAACATCGCGATGACAGGCGAAAAACAACTACTCTGCATAACCACTTCACCCGTAGACAAGTGAGCAGGTCGCCTGAGATGTTTGTTAGTTTTGGATTGTTCACTTTGTGCAGACAGTCCACGATCGAGCTAACGGGGATTTGTCAGCATTGCGTACGTTATCGACTGCCAAGATCTCGTGCCTGGTAACTTGAAAGCACCGGTCCGTCAGTTTATCCGAATCCCGAACCTGGCTCCAACCCCCTCGCGACTTCAACTGTACCGAACTGAAAACAGCAACGCTGCCATACGTTTTGTTTGAAAGCTCAATGGATCAAAGCAGCTCACCCGATTACAAAGAACTTTTCGAAAGAGAAACAAAGCTACGTAGACAGGCTGAGGAAGGACGACGACAGGCTGAGGAAGAACGACGACAGGCTGAGGAAGAACGAATACAGGCTGAGGAAGAACGACAACAAGCTGAGGAAGAACGACAACAAGCTGAGGAAGAGAAACGACAAGCCGAAGAACGAAACAGGCAGTTCACTCGAAAGACTTCTTTGCTGGAATATCTTCGAACCTGCCATAACTTGCTCTCCTGTCCCTTGCACGTTAGAACTCCGTCTCGTTCTACGAAGGGCAAGATCCCAGCCCCTCAAGGGAAGTATTGCCCCGCTCGCCTTCTCCCATGGACAGATTGTGCCGCTGCACAGCAGGAAATATATGACTCGGTTTGCAGCTACCTCCAAGCAACGAGTGACCAACCTCCCCAGTTATTTTCGACTGTTGCGCGTCTGGAAGGCGTCGCCAACTCGTTGGACCGTCCACTGAGCAGTGAACGGGATCTTGAAACTTACGAAAGACTTGCCGTTGAAAATCATGTTCGAGATATCATTTCTGAACTCTGCAAAATACCTGAAGCCCGGCGACGGTTCCGTCTTGGCGATGGCGTATGGTTCGAGAGCCATACCAATAGTCTAGAGGATGACGCAGCTCAGAATGATGGCACTCTTTACGATGAAGACCGATCGTCAACACAATACCGGCCAAGGCCTGACCAGTTCTGTATCCACCGAGCTGATGACAAAAATTCTCTGCTTATGACGGTGGAATACAAGCCCCCTCATAAACTGACTGTTGAAAACCTGCGCGTGGGTCTTCAGCCAAAGTTGGACTTTTGGGATGAGGTGGTGCAACGCAAAGAGATACCTACCGATGAAGCTGAGAAGTTGAAATATAATGCCGAGCAGATTGTTGGGTCAGTTCTCACCCAGGAATATCACGTTATGCTTTGGGAGGGCCTTGAGGTTTCCTATGTGACCATCGGTCTTGCACTGGTTCTTCTCCGAATACCTCAGGATGACCCGGGCACACTACTTTACTTCCTTTGCGAGCCCAATATGGAAATTGATGGGAATGATGATGACAACTATCGACAACCAAGAACAGCTATTGCTCGGGTGCTTTGTCTTTCTTTGATGAGTTCTCTTTCTGCCATCCGCGATCATGCTTGGCGGACTAGTGCAATGGGTCAGCTGAACACTTGGGAAACTAGTCTTGAACTTGTACGGTCCGGAATACCTGATGACGAGCTCCAGCAAGCCCCACCTGGCTCAGAATATACGGGATCTCCTCATACTAGTACCGAAGGCACTGGTTCTGAATGGCTACCTTCGTCACCCATGCCATCGCCAACACCACAAGGCCGTGCGCAGCTCCGATCTGGTTGTGCACCGTCGCAAGCTATCCCTGGCCCAGATCAGTCCTCCGATGATTCGGATTCAAATCATACGGCGCCCGAAGCTAGGCGAAAGCGGACTCTCAGCAAAGTCACTTCTTCCCCTCCTAATCAGTCAAGAAGGCCAAGAGGCTTTGGCAATGGTCGAAGTGGGATCCACCGACATCATGCCGCGCAATTTTGTACCCAACGATGCTTACTTGGGCTTCAACAGCACGGCTTGTTGGATAACAAATGCCCAAATGTGGACCTGCACAGAATGTGTGAAAATGACGAACGGCATCCCATTACAAGAGATGGCTTGGTCCAAGAGCTGAATCAACAATTGAATAAAGACCTGGATCATTATTGCACCCCATTGGGAGATTGTGGGGCGTGGACGTCTGGGGCACCATTCAAGATTGTTTGTGTCCGATATGGCTACACAGTTATTGGAAAGGGGACAACAGACCGACTCTGGAAAGAGGTGTCTAATGAAGCAATGATATATCGTATCCTCCAAAAAGCGCAAGGGTCTGCCGTACCAGTTTTCCTGGGAACAATCGACCTGGCTATGACTTATTTCCTCCATGGGGCGGGTGAGATTCGACATATGCTGCTTATGGCTTGGGGCGGCGAGAAAATAAGTAGATTGGAGCTTCCCCTGGATCTTGATTATGAGTTTCGACGATCTCGGGAAGAGATCCACTCCCTCGGGGTGGTGCATGGCGACCTCAATGACGGAAATCTACTATGGAATTCAGAGTTGAAGCGGATTCTCATCATTGACTTCCATGACGTGGCACTGAACCCTGGTTTGAAAAAGAAGTCGAGAGCATCAAAGAGGAAGTCGTTTGAGCCCCAATATCGAGAACGAAAACGTCTTCAGATGGCATCTGTATAGACACAGATTTCGCCCAACGGAAGCATGGCTGAAGTATTACCATGTCAAGCTCTTGGCTATTGCATTGTGGGCCTCGAGGATAAACGTATGTACTCGCAAGAAATACAGAACACTGCGTATTACCGCGCTTACGCGAGGATGGCGTTGATTAAAATCACAGTCGTTGATATGTCGGTAACGCGGCATATTGACAGAAATGAAAGGTTTTACGAAGAGGGACAAGGACACTGCTTTTAGATAAAAACATACAGATATGAGGCAGACTCACCGGGCCTTGCGCATGCTGTGGCTAAGCCAAAGGCAAGTTCAGCTGTGACATTGGCTCCTTAATGCCCACCTTTGGCAGCTGTTTAACTTCGGTAGAGATCCCCAGGCGTCCTCGTAGGTCGTACCAGGCAGGACAACATAGCACCCCCCCAGAATGCAACTGACACGTCATTGAGGCAGATTCCAGTGCTTTACATTCCCGCACGCATTCAGCAGAACCGGAAAAGCGCGCGAGAACTAGTCGATTAGGCGTGGTCGAGACGGACATCTACCTTTTTGCGTTAGTGTCAGTTTCACTTGTGCTTCCCAATGAAGCTCTGCGAACTTAAAGTTATCTGTAGGGCTGTAATGTTTATGCATGTAATCCAAAATCTTTAATGGCGGCCGCCTGTGGAGAGCCACCCAGCTAATAACCAGCTGGCCTACTGCCATGTGCACAAATTGCCGCGAAGGTACCGCCCGGGTGGGAAATTGATGAGCACCGCTTTGTGGTCAAATATGCTATAGACAGTGTTTCCCTGGAAATGGCGATATTACCGTCTTTGGTAGGCAGAATCAGCCAAGTACGTCGGACGCAGACGGGGACATCTGTAATGCCGATCCCGTCACCATTGTGATTGTCGGTCACATGTTTCGCTGGGTCTCAGCATATGTTCGTCACAATATTATTAGTCGAATACAGACTTCTCCAGCGTAGCTAGCGGAGAAAGGATCGATTGGCTCGAATATTGTAGAGGTTCCATAAGAAGCTGTAGGGGCAAGCGGAAGCTAATTCCTATTGCACCAATATCGTGCTAGGATATTATGTATAGTAGCTGTCCGTGTGCCCGACAGGGATTTCCTAGGGCCGGTTCAATACGAGGCAGGAAGAACGGTTTCTCTCCTACGTCTCGCCAGATGGCTTATGAAAACGCGCTAATCATACTCTATCCAGTGCGCCTCTTCTGGAGAAATGAACGCTGATATCCAGAGGAAATGCCACTATAGTGTAGTCTGAGTAGAGATGGACAGGACGCTCTACCACATTGAGACCTTACCAAGGCTCAGGCTCATGGACAGAGTAAGCGCGCCATTCTTCAACTTGTTTGGATTCGTTATCTGGTCTAGTGGTTAAATCAACTTCTGAGGGATCAGGCAAATTAAATTTATGTCGATGTGTATTCCTTGAGTCCACAAATACCTTTGGGGCTGATGTAAACGAAGCTCTGATCCTTGATGGGATTTCAAGTGATGAACAATCATTTTTCCCGGACGTGTAGCATTTCCTTCCGCCTTTCCTGTTTTCGTCCATCAGATATCCCTTCCAATCTCAAATCGTCTTCCGAAGAATCGGCAATCCCCCGTGTTTCTCATCTCTACCGACCCATCTGCTAACCATGGGATCTCGTCTCTCAAATCACGCATACGCTTCGTAGTTTCATTGGGACTCCTTTCTGTAAACTGGATCCTCTCCACCTTCATGTGTAACCCTAGCAGCGTGCGTGCGGTCCGTTCATCCAAATCGCCGTCAATCTTGAGATTGATGCGGAATATCCATGTGTTGTACCACACCTCGTTCAGGCGGTTGTTCCCTTTCTCCCCTGCACATGCATAGACAATGTCCCTTCGGAGCCAGGATGGGTGGGGTCGTATGCGATCCTGGTGATAGCATTTCCCGTGCCAATGAGCACTTCCCTCAAATTTATGATTGACAGCCTGCTCTAGAAGTTGAATATGTTGGGATGCAGTTTCCATTGTAATTCCATGCTGTCTGCCATACACGTGGATATAGCGAACCATTCGTGCTCTTTTGCTAGGACAGCAACGACTCCCGTGAGCCCATGGAACCGGCTGAGTTTATGTATTTCTGCTATAGCATCTATATACATCTGCTGATTGGTGAATGTACCTCATGTTTAGTGGCTCACTGGTGAAAGGTTTAAGAGATATATCCAATCACAACACTTTTTCCACATTCGTTTGCGAAGCTCAGAAATCCTAAGAGTAGATGTTGTAAATTTACAGCACCGAAAAAGAAAGGTGAAACAACAAGGTATTCAACACTGGTCATAAGTTCAAAAGTTGACTCCTGTCAACAAGGGCGGCCAAGCTTCAACGGGTTGACTTTCCGCAGTGTAGACGGACCGAACAACACACAGCTCAGATAAGCAACAAGCCTCGGCCGGAAAAAATCCATGATTCTTAGTGATGACAATGTGAGTGCTCTTGGTGAATCAAATAATGAAAAGCTACCACTGCCTCAATATAGAAGACCGTAGATTCAACACTGAGCCAACGTTTCTTAACCGACTCACTTTCACTCACTCTCATTATGAGTCTATCATGATTTTCTCGGTGAGCATCTAGAATCGCACCAAAGGTTTGGCCGCAAATAGTTGCGGTAGAACGAGGACATGGGTTGCGACGTGCCTCACATAGGATTAGGCATCGATGCAAAAGAGCGGTTTCTATACTGTATAGGTATATAGATCTCAGCGCCACCCTTTCTGCGACTAGTCTGATTGTAAAGACGATGCGAAACAATCAGGTTCGTGTTTTCCGTCTAACATACACCAGTCACGGAGCCCTTTCCCGCGTCTTCTTTCAGAACATGTGAGTCATGCATTCCTCGTGGATTGACAAGCTAACGATGGACAAGAAACTGTTGACAGCACACCAAAGTGAGTCCGAACCAGCATTCCGTCAGTGCTCCGCGCAGGGTCATGGCTTACACACCGATTCTTACCTTATCACTTCAAACCATGTAGTATGACCTATGTGAGATACTGCAAACCAAGGTAGCTGGCTAAGGATAGGATGCATAAGCTCCAGACGTGGGTTCTCTACGATAAGGTGAGTGGAATATCGCGCCTCTTGCTGCGCCGGGTCCGATGATTTGTGCCAAGCTTAAGCCCAGACACGAATACCACTAACATTTCCATGCCGTTGTAGGAGCAGCCTTTGCTAACTACAAAACTCTTGTGGCGAGTAACCTATTCCTGCCGAGTTAGGCAAGACCATAGGGCCGACGGGCCATCGCGTCTTTCCCCTCCCTTACCGTCTTCACACACTGAACGGCGGAGCCTCTCGCTGTCTGCACGAAGCGATCTTCCAATAAGTCTGTACAATTTCTTCTCACAAGTAGGTTCGTCGCGCGCCTTTGGCGTCTTGCGAACTTGACCGGTGCATCCAGCGCGGCTTCTCGAAGCGACAGCGGGAGAGGGCGGCGAACCTGATTACAACATGGCATGAATGGTGACTGCCTTGCAGAAGAAAATTGGCAGTGATCTAGTTGGTAAACTGGTATGATGATGATCCCAATTGGCCATCTGTCTCAAGCGTACACTCGGGAAATTAACTGGGATCTCACCGTAGGAAGATACCCCCTAATTCCCATGCCTAGAATGCGAAGCGAGTAAATGTATTGTCTGCTCGGCCTCAATAACAACAAGCGGTCGCATGCTTCCCAGATTCCACTCGATTACAATTCGCTTCGATGAGTCGCTCGTGGGTGCCAAATCGGCTACCTCGACCTTTCTCCCAGTCGATTCGGTTCACCAGATCAAGTTCGCCAGATCACACGTTGGTATGTCTACCTAATGCAAGACTCAATTCAAGGAGCGCATAGCAGTGGCTATATCCCGGCATTTGAGGCCTCTCACACGATAGCCTACTAGCGGCATGGATCCGTGACGTCAAAGGGGTAACCATCGTTGTCCTCATGGCGTCTAGCATGTTTTGAACCTGGAAACCTGAAGACACTGGGAGGAGCCGATACTTCATCTTGCTAGAGCCTTACATTGTACACGGCGAGGCTTTCAGTCCTGTCTGCTTGAAAGGAGAATGTGAGGTGAAATGAAAGTCCCGTCATTTCTAGCCGAATCAACTAACGGTAGCCATCTCAGCTTCGAATCGAGAGGACAGAACCGAGGAAGGCCGAATCAAAGAGAAGCCCCATGACCCAAGAACCGAATCTGATAGAGTCCCCCTGGTCCCTCTTTCTCTCCACGTTGCTGAGCTTGTCGAAATCAACGAGCAAGCCGGAACAAATCATTCGGACATACACGGAGCTGTATGCTATCAAAAATGTTTGTTTCGTCCCTGTTGGACCGAAGGTTGTTTGTTTTGATTCCGAAGCCTGTGTTTTTCTAAGTATTCCCAGACTCAAGAAACAGTTTGGGCCATTTTCTCTACGAAGACCTGATCCCCGACCGGAGGGGAGTGTTCCTGGATCTCGCCAAGGAAATGCATGTCTGGCATCCAGATGCGAGAAAAGCGGCAGGCGAACTGGCGGCGTATCCTTTTCTTCAACTAGAACAGACAAGCGCCTGATTTCTGCGAGCGTTGCTAGAGAAATGGCTCAAAATTGTGGTTAATCCCAGTTCGGTGGTGACATAAAATGATCGGTGGAAGCGTAGTTACATCTAATAGATTCAGTTGGTTTGTTTTTGATCGGCAAATAATAGCATTACGCGTTAAATGGGATCGGAGACATCAAATTCTTGAGGCTCCCGGTTACGACGGTTGAACATTCCCGCGAGCAACAGAGGAACAGCTCAAATAAATCAACGATGTATCATATTCAAACAATCACTGTAAATTAAAATAACGTCGTTCTTCACTACCCTGTCATACATCATTTCCCAGCATCTTCAGCCTCCTCTTTTCAACTTTTTTCTTTCCAAGACAAACCAACAACATTAGGAGCAATTGACTAACATATCTGAAGCAAGTTCTGCTGAGTTTGCAAGATCGTACTTGGAATTATCTAGGAAAAACTGGCATTCTTGTCCCTTCTTACTGCCTATCGCAGCGGCAGCCTATTAGGCATCCACTTATACAAGCATATACATACGCGATCTTGGATCCAGGTTCGCCAAGGGGATCAGGTAAATGAAAATTGCCCACCCACATCGCGGCCTTGAGCGCTGTTGACATCTGCATCTTCTATCATTAGCTCGCTCGCTTAAGAAAGGAACAATGATACTCCGAACTCACTACATCCCGTTTATTGCGTTAAATCAATGTTCAAGTTGAATGTTGGAATGATGGCCCCGTTGAACCGATTGTTGGATTATCCAGCGCCCCGCTTGGCATCGGCTTCCGCGCCCATACTCTCCGTCTACAGGCAGCGTTGGTCAGTCGAAAGAAATACTAAGGGAGAGACAGAAAAATCGACCACTCACCCTTGATGCCATATATGAAACCGTGAGTCCTTGAGCTCCTTTCGTAGCTTGGCAACATATACATGGACTTCATCTTTGTCCCAGGGTTGCGGGTGACCAAACTTGGTGAGCAACCACATGCACCAACCCTCTATCCCATTGATCCAGTGCTGGAAATTGACAGTGCCTGCATCCTTCAGTTTCTGGTCTCTAGGCCACGGCCCAATGGGCCATTTGTAATTTTTCTCATGAACGTCGACAAATCCCGCGTTCCGGATTTTCCTGGCCATAGTATCGAAGGTGTCACAGTCCCGGCCGGCACGCTCGCCGCAACCCAGCATGTTCGGACCCCAGTCATTCAGGATATTTTCGGGGGGCAGGCTACCATCATCTGTCTCAATAATGGGACTCACCTCCAATTGCTCGATCCACCCGCCCGGGCGAATTTTACTAAAGCCAAATAGTCAGACACTATTACAAATATTAGTTAATGCCATCACTCAGGCTCACTCAAAGCATTGCTTGTATAGGTTGTCCCATTCTGTTCCATCAAATGACCCGATCATAATACGCATATGTATTAAATCGAATTGCTCGCGCCATGTCCAATCCTGCTGCACGTCGTCGACCTCAAGGATGCAATTCGGAGGCGTCCAGGAGACCGGTGGTGGAAAGAGATCAACCCCACGAACGGTTGCTGTGACCCGTCAGGAACATGGAAGGTGGAAGAATGTTCGTTGAAACTTACCACTAGGAAACA